GGTTCTGCTATGATTAGTGTCTGGTGGAAAGCTTCAGCTGATATTTCTTTTGCAACATCTCAATCAACAATTGGTCCAGTTATCAATGCTATTTCCAAGTTTTGAACAACTTGACTTTCAAGATCTACATGAGCCAATGTTTCCATTTATGAACGTTATATTTTAAGATCTGTGCAAGAACTCGGCTAACAGATGTTTCCATATATCAAAGCTATCCTCAAATATTATGTAATTAGTATTTATGAATTAATAGTTTTACCCAAAATGCAGCTTTTACCCAAAACTGGATTGAATATTGCTTAAAAAAAGGTGTCCAAATAAGTTTCAATATAATTACTTCCAGATCTAGAGTAATTACTTATATTTATAGTGAGACAGCAGAAAAAAAGCCAATATTTCCAAATTAGAAGAATAATACATCTTTAATCAGTTATATTAAAAACAATGCTGTGCAAGTAGTTAGTTGCCATCCTTGCAAGAGATGAAACATCATATTAACCTGTCCTACTCATCAACCGACAATGGATATATACCAAAATCACCACTTGATACAGGCCCATACTTGTCTTACTCTGTTTCTATGTCATTGATCCCCTGGATCGTGGGCTCTATTCAACTTAAGAGGGGTAAAAATGTATGTACAAGTTAGTATAAGCTGAATGTTTATGTTATTTTCCTTGAGTTTCAATAATATCATTATTCTTGCTCTAGTCTTCATCTCATGTTGGCATTTTTCTCTCCAGCTTCAGTAGCCAGAGAAGTCATACAATAAATTTTAAACTATAAAATATCTTGTACAACAAACTAAAAGTTAAACATGACTAAAATTCAGGATTAAATACCCAATACATATTGTGAGAATATATTTAAAGCTCTGCAAAGGAAGTTGTTCAGTGAGCATATTCAATTCATATATTCTATTCTTAGCTACCTATTTTGAGAGAAACTTCAATCAGCTTGTTAATAGATCAACAATTTTTGTTTGATCACACATCAGTGAAATGCTTTTACAAGTCATAAATAAAAACAACTCTGAACTGACCATAAAATACAAGAACTATAGGAAGACATCCAGTGGACAACCATCAGGGTTGACAGATAAAAAAAATCATAGGTCTTTGATGTCTTTTTATGCAATCTTAGCAAACTATATGAGTTAAGGCTAAACTTAAAAACTTAGTTCACAAATTTTCAGCAAAAATGAAAAACAAAATTAACCAATATAGAAAAGGAACTGATCCTACTAATGATCGGTGAGGAATCTCACATTTTATTTATTTTCCTATTCCTTCTTATAGATTTCCTAGCTTCCACATGGTTGAACACAATAAACTTAAATGCTTTTCAGACGTTGTCCTTCTAGAGCTTCAGTAATATTAATCAGAAAAGGATTTCTTGGCCTAACTTGAATCTAAAGTAACTAAAAGCAATTACAAACAGCAGTCAGCGTAATAAGATAATTTTTAGAGCACAAAATCGTAATGGTATTGTGGTTCTTGACAAAGAAACCTATCATGAAAAAAATGATCAAACTGTTACTGACAAATCTCACTTTAAACTGCCGGATATTAATCCAACTCCAAGAAGAAAAAAGAAGTTAAATATTTGTTCAACCCTATAGTTTTATTTATGAATAAAACAAGTAATTATGTTTTTAAAATCATATTTTTATTTTTGAAAAACACTACATTTTGCTAGGTTTATCTAGTATTGTTAGATGGTAGCATTTGAGCAACAGAACAGTACAACCTTCACTTTTGTTATGACATCTTTCATTGAATATTTGGATAAAACTTACTCTGACGTGTTATGTCAAAAAACTTTGAGAAGTTGCTTTTCATTCAAAAATGATGAAACATAACCCATAAATTTCTTTCTTGTAAATTATAATTGCTGATGATTATTAGAAATATACAATTTAATCTCCTCAAAGTATAAGGAAGTATAGACATATCTCAACATAACAACACAATCACTTGTTTAATGACTACTTAAAATAAATATCTCCAGCTGACATTTATCTACAAGTGAAAAGTTTTAAGTAAAGGTTTTAACTTTTTGATTACTTTCAAGTAAATACTTGAAATAAAAATATAATAACATATCCAAAAAGATTTCCATTCAGGAACATTCAAAATGTAATTTGATATCTGAAAAACAAGACACTAGTTCACAACAATGATTCTTTAAAAAAAACCTTGATTTTTCCAAACCATCTCAAATTAACAAAAGTGCTTTTCCCTCACCTTCCAAACAACTGTCCTATCAAATATCCCAGACTTTTTCCACAAATTGATAAACTGTGTATGTTAATACCCAGTTTAAAACAGGCATAATTAAAAGCCTTATAACCTCTAAAATTATATCAAGACATTTTTTCATTAAAATCAAAAAGTCAATTCTGTTGTTTCATATATCACTGTAAATACCCCAATGATATGAACAGTTTTAAATGATTCAACTCACTCTGTGAAATTTGATTCTTTTTTGATGTTCAAGCAAGAACACATACTAAAATCGTTTTTATTGCAGTTGAACAAATCTGACAAATTTTCCAATGACTCTCACATTTTTGTACATCACATATACATGGTTTATGAAAAATTAATAAACAAAGTTCTCCTTTATGTCCTACAGTTCTTGCTTATCATACTTATAACTATTACCTCAGAAAATTTGTGTCTTGCATATTTGCCTTTCATATCACTAAAGCTTTTTTTTGTCAAAAACTTGAATCTTTAATCACAAAACTAAGATTCGAACCTGGGTGCCTTTATGGTTGGTTAGCTTTGAAGTAAGAAACTATTCATACAAGTACCTGTTAAAGAAGCAGTTTACTGAGCTCTAAAATGTTATCAAAAGGACTCCAACCCCAGGACTTTGTTAGCTGTTTCCATCATAAAAACATTTGTTCACTTTTCCACTTCCAATACAAATTTTCCGTTTCAGAATATTCATTATGACCAAATCAACAGCCTAGACCTGAGAGACCCAGTTTCATCTGTTTTAGCAAATTTATTCATGGTTAGAGTTGAAGACATTACCATTTTGACTTCACTCCATCCTCTAGTTTTCTTGATTTGTTATGTTGATGACATTTTTATGGCCTTTAAGGAAATTGATTAAATCAATATTCTTTTTTTCACATTTGCATGCAATGCACTCCAACATCATGCAAGTTGAAGATGAAGTTGCTTGAAATTTTTTTTTAATTTTAGTGATTGAAAGAAATAAAAACAGACTTTACACCAGTGTTTTCCATAAAGATGTACATTCAGAAATTTATATCCATTGGAATTCTTTCCATGGTCCAAACAAAAAATAGGGATCATACAGTCTTTTTTTTTAAAGCTTAAAATATCTTTTCCCCTCAACAAACTTTTAACATAAATAAACACTCCTCTATTTTGGCATTGTTATGTTTATGACACATTTATAGGTTTTTTTCTGACAAAGACTTAGTTCAGTCCTTTCATAATTATATAAATGCACTGTTTCCTAAAATTCAGTTCAGGAAAGAAGTTTAAGAAAATACTTCTCTTCTATTTTTAAATGTTTTGGCTTGAAAGTTGAATATTCTTTTGTTACATTAGCATTCAGTTAAGGTAAATGTATAAATCTCTATACTAGTCTTCCATCCATAACTGTAGCTATAAATTTAATATTGTCAAACCATTTTAACACAATGCAAAGTCTCTCAGCAACACAGACAAAAAACTAGAAGTGGAAAAACAACCTTTGTTTGAGAGTTTATCATCCAGGAATTGCTTCAAATATCTTGAAGATTACCCCAGCCTATAAAAACTAGAAACTGATTTTAAAAACTGTTTTTTATTCTCTGCAATTTTTCAGGTTTTTCACTGGTTTAACAAGATTGTGGAATAGATTTATAACTTTTATATCACATATAACTTTGAAATAAAAAAAATGTTCATGTTATATTTCAGTCTAAGCAGCTTTTTATAAAAAAATATCATACATCTACCAACAATGTAATTTAACAGGCTAAATGTCCACATCGCAATACTGTTTATATTAGGGAAACAGGAAGAAACTTAACCAGCAGACTTAAGAAAACAGATCCAGTCTATCACATTTTTATACATTCCTGTAAATGTTATAATTTCAACATAATGTATTTTCAAATAAAAAAAAATACTGCTCTGTAAAAAACAAAAGAAGCATTTTAAATAAAACACTTCCAATCAAGTATAAAACAACATCCAGAATCAACCCTTTATATTTTTAAGAATGGAGCCAGCTTGACACTACAGACTAGCCTATTGTAACTATGTCAGTGAAATGCAGTATATAAACTTAACATTTAAGTACTACAAGGGACCTGTTGATCAATCTAGTCTGTCCCATTCAATAAACTATATATACATGTATCATTCAAAGCCAACCCTTATCATTCAAATATCTATTATGCTTTCCTTTAAATTCCTATAAAGTTACTGCTTTCACCACATCTGAAAGCAATCCATTTCAAAGACCAACTCCTACCCTGATGAAAGTTATATTTGTGTTCCTTATTCTTACCATTCCCACCATTACTAAGTATGAAAAAAGATGATGTATCAACACTATCATTTCCCTTTCAAATCTTTAATACCTCAATAAGATCCCCTATATGTCTTATTTTTTCAAGAGAAAACAATTTGAGAAATTTCAGCCTCTCCTTGTATGACAACCCCTCCATTCCAGGCACCATTCTAGTAACCCTACTCTGAATCTTTTCAAACAGTTCAATGTTTTTCATAAAATAAGGAGCCCAAGACTGAATACAATATTCCATATGTGACCTAACCAATGATCTATAAAATGAAATTATAACCTCTTTAGACTTGTATTCAATATTTCTGTAGATATAACCTAAAATCCTATTTGCTTTTCCACTAGCCATAGCAAAGTCAAGCCACAAAGTAAGAGGTTCCACTGGTGAATGGATGTTTTCTTTAGTAAGACTCCACGAGGGAGACAGATATTTCAAAACTGTTCAGGACTGTTTTCATCAGGGAACCTAGTAGGAGCAATGATACTCTAGATTTATTGTTAACTTCTAGTATAGAAACAGTGTAGACTAGGGAACATCCGAGTGCACGTCATCGTTGCTCAGTTAGGTTTGATGTTTTACTATATATGGAATCAAGAATGATAATATTTTGGTCAAAAAAATTTCAAAAAAGCAAAATCTGTAGGGATGAGACAAGAATTATCTGTTGTGACTTGAGCAACTGAATTAACTGCAGATATTGATCAAATGTGGAAGATTTTTAAAAATAATTTTTTAATATTCAAGATAAGCATGCTCCTCATAGAGAAAAAAAGGGGGACTACAAGTAAAAAACCATATACAGGATAAAATTAAAGAAAAGCATCAAAAAGTTAACATTTTCCTTACCTAAAAATGTGTTCTTTCAGAAAATAGCATTAAAAAGGGGAAGTCCATGGAGTGTGACAAAAATTAGGTGGAGGGATAGCTATATTCAGTAAGAAATCATATTCATCTCAAGCAAGTAGAACTCTTTGCTCAAAAGAAGTGGTAGAGCAAAGTTATTGTCAGAAGAATCTCTTGCTGGGTGCTTGTCACTAAGGTTGGCAGAATGGCAGATAGCTCGACCATCTATTATCTCATATGCAGACAACTGAGCATGGATGTATAGTGTGGTTCAGATTATAAGTCAGAACAAACCATACTGAAGAAATACTTATGTGAGATACTCACCACAAAAATCAGGTAGAGGGAATAGCTTCACTGACCTATGTCATTAAGTGAACCTAAGACCCATCTGCCAGGACTTAAGCAATAGGAATAGCTTGTTGCACTGCCCAATGAGGAACTCTCCATATTAACTTCCACAGCAACTTGGAACCGGAGAAGCAAGGGTTCTTCCATACTCCACTAGAAAAAAATGGGAGAGGAAATTGTGTGGAGAAGAACACCAGAGAGGTGCAATGACCATTATCATTAGGTACAATTACCTAAAATTAGGTCCCACATTGAGAGACAGTGCAATGAGTTAATGCAACTAACCACAGCAGGTGCAAGGGCAGGCACACACACACTTGATGCAGTCTTCTTTTTAGTCAAGTGATGTGAAGAATGGCCTGGAAGATATATATATACACACACACATACTGCTGAAACAGTCTTACAGAAACCCCATCTCAACAGCAGGCACTGAGCAGGGGTGGATAGGCTTAACACTTTCTGTACTCCCCTGTTCAATGCAGAAGTTGGGTAAGTATTCTCTACGAGGCAACACTGGCCACTCAGTGGGTTCCATCATCTCTATAATATAGATATACACATCTGTTAAGTAAATAGTTGTGAAACCTGAAAAAAAAGGAAAGAAAAGAGAAATTAACAACTCACCACCAGTACCACTGTAACGAGTGGAGATTGGTGACTGGAAGCCAGGGTAGGTGAAACCACCATGTGGTGTAAGTAATAGGAGATTAACGTGTCAAAGTTGTCCAAATCCCCAACTGATAAATTATCACATACAGGGGAAATTGATCCAATCACCCTCCCAAACCATCAAAATTTTGGAAGCAGTTCAGACAGAAGATGAACCTGTCCCTGAAGTAGATAGTGTGGGAGGAGATGAAGGCAAAATTGAGTGATGGCTCCTGCAAGAGGAAAGGGAAAGAAATATATCTAAAGCATATAAATGGAGATTGAACCACAACAGACACAAAGAATCCTCAGCCACAATTATAGAGTCTGGAATTGGCGGGGAGATGGAAAGGCAGTGATGACAGGACATACATAATGGGAGCAAATTCACTGAAAACACCAGAGGATGGAAAAATCACACTGTAAGAATGGTGCAGGCCTAAGTAAGATAGTTGATCCACCACACTTGAGCATTTGATATGTGATAGATTGATAACTGAATGTGGTGGTGGTAAGCACAAAAGAGAAAGTACAGAGCCTCTTAACCACCATAACATATTAGGAAATAGATCTAAATTATGCATTTTTTGTTCTAGAATGACTGCACATTTTAACAGAAAACCGCAAATGTTTATTCTAAATAGCTAAAATCTCATAAAAGTATACATCTAATTATATTTATCAATTTGTTTGTTTTATTGAACAGTGTCTGACAAACAATAGTGCCAAGGAAGTTGTAAGTTACATGGTGCACGTGCAGGTTACGTTACCATATCAAATACCATAAAACTGGCCTTAGCTTTGTACTAGCACACCATTATTTTGTAAAATACAATCACATTTCGGTTGTCATACATATGTATACATACTATTATTATTTACAAATAAATTGTTAATTTTCAGTTATTTTCCTTAAAACATGGAACAGTAAATAAAAAATATAGAAAAGAATGATTTCTTCTTAGAATGTTACGAGGATTCTTTGTAGTTTGTAGTTGCCTGCAATAATTTGCTAAGCCTCGTCCGATCACACACATAGAGGATGTAAAAATTTTTTTTGTAGATTTTATATATATATATTTTGAAATAACAAAAGTTATAAATTACTATACCAATATCACAAAATTCTGCCGTATTTTTCAGGCTTCTTAATTAAACTGTATTTAGGTAAAATAAAATCTCATTTCGGATCACCATTTCAACTTGCTACCAGTCATCAAAGTTCCAAGGAAAAAATGACAAATTTTCCAGCCTAAACACTTTATAAAAGGAAGAGGTGAGTGGAGCTACTGTGTTGGATTCACTAAATGTAATATCTCAGCAAACAGAAAAGGTAGGAGGTTCTTATTTTATATTCTAGCTTGTCTATATCAGTATTCTAAGTTGTAAGAAACTATAGACATTGTATTGTGGCCATTATAAATTCTAATCTGAAGACAAATACCATGGGACACACAAAAATCAATATTTAACAATTTGTTTTAAAAATTTACTTTTGAATTAAGATATTAATTGATGTATAATACTAAAATTTGATGCCTAATTTATTGCCATACATTCATAAAATAATAGTAGAATAAAATTTTAAATGTAATTCTACAAATGTGATGACATGCCCTCTGACTCCTTCCAGTAGCAATAAGATTAATGTATTATCCTTTTTTGTACTTAACAACGAGAATGGTATAACTAGAGGACACAAATACAAGTTTTGGCAGGATAGAAGTCATACTGGGCTAAAACAATTTTTTTTTTCTACAAGGTAGTTGGCCTTTGGAATGGTTGCCTTCTGATGTAGTGGATGCAGTAAATTTAAAGGAAGGCTTGATGAATATTTCATTGATCAGGGCTGGCTGTGAGTGTTATGAATTTAATAATGGGACAGCCAAGATGAACCAACAGGTACATCTTTAAATGTTCTATGCTATTTGACAGAATTTAGTAATGGGACAGCCTAGATGAACCAACAGGTACATCTTTAAATGTTCTATGCTATTTGACAGAGTGCCATTAACAATATGCTGAGTGTTATTGTTATGTAGCTTAACGTAAATCTAGTGAGTGTATGTATCTACTAACCTTTCTTAATTCAGGTGGAAACTGAAGACTGTTATCCTTAGCACAAGAAAGACAAAATCTTTTGCTGAAGTAAATACTGCACTCCTATGTAAGATGACAAACACAAGTTACATTAGAAAATTAATGAATTTAAAAGTGATTAACTTCCCTTGAAGTATACACTAACTTTTCTGTCTGCAATTCTACTGATATTATATACATGTTATATTCTAACAAGTTATATTTAGTTACATAAATCAACCTGTGGTCAATATGTTTCTTTCTATTTTTATTTAAATCATGTTTTTTGTTATTTTACCTATCTTTCTTAAAATGCAGTCTGTCAAAATTTGTATACAAATGGTATAAAGGTACATGATGCAGCATTAAAAGATGTAAACTAAACCTTGCAGTTAAAACATTTAACAAAAGAAGGATAGTAACTCAAAATGTCATCTAATACAGAGAAATTTCAATGGCAATAATTTAATTTCTTTAGTTTGCTTTAATTAGTCCTTTTTACGTTATGCCTATCTAGCTTCTCCAATACTCTACAGTGATTGTGGCCATTTTGTATGAAATGTTTGCTTCCAAAGCAAGACTACATTCACACATACCTCTGCTTGACAAACTATATTTTTACAAAGGCTACAATGTCCACCCAATAGCAGAAAAATACCTTCTCCAGCAGGAGAAAAGGGGTCTTTAGCAAGGTAAACATCTTCAAGAAACCTGAAAAACAATATACATATATATAATACACACACAAATCATGTTCAGAGAAAGATAAAATGTTCATTGTTGCTTCAAACTGTTTCATTTTTTAAAGAACTTATTATATTAATGTTAATTCAGTCCTTCAGAAATACCCTGCATGTATTTTTTCAATCAGAATGTTAATAATTGTTGGTCTTCTTAATCAAATAACACTTTACACCTACTTTTGGTTTACATATTGGTATCACAATTAGTTAATATTTATAGTTATTTATAAACATGCTTTATCCTAAAACAAAATATTCTTATAATTTGTTAGTATTTATTCTAGCATATGAGTATAATGATAATGGGACATTATCCCATTTTTTGGTTATTACTTGTACTTTAATTTTTAATAGATACTTCATAAAGAATGTATGGAAATGTATAAACTACTTCATATGAAGCCTCAAGGTAATAATAATCTTCTTGGTCTTAAATCAAAAATTCCTATAAATTCTGTTTGATACGGGTAAGGGCTTTTTGTGTTTTATCAATAATCACACCTAAATCCTTATCTGTTTTTACTCTCCTACAACACTAGTTCTTCTGTCATACAGTAAGTCCTTTCAAAATTTTCATATCCCAAGTACTTAAATGAGATTTAAATAAAAAAAATCAATGGGATTAATAAGATGGCATATAAACAACAAAAATCCATTTGGTCCTTTAAGGCTGCTCTTACATACCCACTCCGACAAAAAGTAACAATTTAAGTCCACCCTTTATTTTCAGGAAATTATATATTCTCCTCTTTAAACACTATACTATAAAGAGCTGTCCTCAACTACTGCAGATGACAACTAGTTAATTAATCTAGTTTGACTGAACTCCATTTGTAACAACCCTCCACTTTCTTTCATCCAGCGACTCTTCTATCCAATTTGCTATCTTATCCCCAACACCTATAGAGATAATTTTTTTTTACAAACCTTTTATGTGGCACCTTTTTAAATGCTTTCTGAAAATTCAGATACACCAAATCTACACCCTTACCCTCATCTAGATAAGCAGTAACCTTTTCAAAGAATGTCAAAAGATTTGTAGTTAAAGAAATTTTCATATTTTCAGCCAACCTTTTCTCACACATCCTTCTCGATGTCCTAATTTCTTGTTTCACCAATTTTATTGATCTCCTGTCATACCAGTCAATTTAAATTTCTTATGCTTTTCTTTAATTTTATGTCTTAAACTCTTTGTGAGCCAACCTGGTTTTTTACTTGCAGCTACCCTTTTCTTTCTATGAGGAGTATGTTTACCTGTAATATTTTAAAATTTATCTTTAAAAATTTTCCACATCTGATCAATGTCTCCAAGTGACTCAGCTGCCCAATTCACAACAGATAATTCTTGTCACATTCCTTCAAAATTTTCTTTTTTTAAATTTGTAACCAAAATATCATTATTCCTTAATTCCATATGCAGCAAAACATCGAAGCTAATATAGCAATGATCACTGGCACCAAAATGTACCCCAATTTCCACCCTCTCAATCATTTCTATATTTGAAGTTAACAATAAATCTAACATTACAATGTTTCTAGCAGGTGAAGAAAGCCATCCTGAACAATTTCCAAAAACATTTCTCCATCATGGTTTGACTCTAGCATTTCTCAATCTATATGCCTGAAATTAAAATTACCCATAATTATGACTTCATTAACTGCTGAAATCTTGTAAAGTTTCTCACTAATTTCATCAATATCATTTGGTGGTCTGTAACAAATTCCCACCAAAAGCCTTTTCCTTTATATCCACTAATAGAAACCCAAATTGATTCAATCTCCTTGCTACTATCTTTAATATCCTCAACTTCAACAGGATGTAACTCACATTTTATTTATAAAGCCACTCTGTCCACCTCTTTAATACTCTATCCTTTTTAAATAGCTTGTAACCCTGTATTTCAAAGACATTTCTGTCATCAAAATCATTTATGTTCAACCATGTTTCAGTTATTCCTATTATATCAAAATCCTCCATTCCTATCTATTTTATTTCTTATACTTCTAGCATTACAATAGTAACAATTAAGCCTATCCTTATTACTACTTCTATACTCATTTCCTTTGCCAAACTTTTCTCTGCCTCTTATTCTTTTTGCATTTAGTTTTTCCTGTCCCTCACCAGTGTCTAGTCCTAGTTTAAAACTTCCCTTACAGCTGAGTTAATAGCCTAAGCAAATAAACCAGACCCTACCCCTACTTAAATGTAAACCATCCAGTTCTAAAAGCTTCCTTCTCAAGTCCAACCAGCCAATCTGCTCATCCTTACATACTAACCTAAACCTAGCATTTAGCCTAGTGACCTACTTATAACTTTATCCCCACAGTTAATTCTGGGCAGTATCCCTGACAAAATTAAGTTATGGCCTTTTTCTATAAATGCCTTTATCAACTCCTTGTACTTAGTAATCAGCTCCTCTGACCAACCATTCTTACATCATTAGTCCCTACATGCACCACAAAAACTGCATCTCTGCTAGCCCCTTTATTAAATCTCCTGCTCTGTCCTATTGATCCCACAGGTAATCTTGTAGACATCAATTAAATCACCCTTTTCTCTTCTTTTCTCGAGAGAAAATAAGTTAAGATCCATGTAAGATAAAATGTTCCATTCCTAGAATCATCCTAATTTTTCTCTGAACACTTTCCAATAGGCCAATATCCCTTGATAGATATGGAGACCAAACTGTAGACTTTTTACTTGAAACCAGTATGTCTATAAATACACTCTAAAATTCTGTTACTGTTACTATATATATATATATGACCAACAGAACACTGCTTTGATGGATTGAATCCATTATCCACCAATATAGCAAGGCCAAGATCCATTTCCTCAGTTGCACTATTGAGTGGGTTCCCATCTATATTGAATGTATGATTCAAGTTATGGTAACTGAAATGCATTACTTTGTACTTACTCTAATTAAAGGTCATTTGCCAAATATTTGTCCATGCAATGTGTTAACTGATCTAAGCCATTTTGTTATATTATTTATAGCCCCCTATACTGCATTAGTCTTTAAGTCTTGGCTGAATAATTTCAACCTTTTTAAAATGTACACACCAATAATTACTTAAGCTTAGAAAACCTTTTACAGGTTTACAATTACATTTTAATCCTATAGGATATTTTCCTGGTACACTTTTTAAATAACAGTAACAACCACGTAGCTGAAAGGTTAACAATTACGTGTTTCGTTAGAATTGTTACAGATCTGTGTCCTTCTTTTCGTTAAAACCACCTGTTCATACAATACAGTCAGACTCAGAAACACGATTTGGCAACACACCAGTCCGTCGAGAGAATGCAAATATCACAAAACTTACATATGCAATAACCACATCGTATTCGTAGGTAATTTAACTTTTAAGGTTAACGTGTAAAGAATTCACAAATTTTATAAGTCAAGAATAAAAATAAAATAACAGCTCCAAGCGGGTAATAATTACCTTAATTTCTTACTCTCACAATTAAAATATCTTAATCTTTATGTTATCAAAACCTATCTTACAACATACAAAATGGACTTAAGAAATGGAGGGCGTTTTCCAAAGTAGTGAAATGTTTCTGTCATTCCACACATATAGCAAGTAAACTTTCTGCAACAATTTTCATCATTATTTTCATCCCCAGTAGCTTGTTCCATCTCACACTATATTTTACATAGGCCTATAGGGCTTTTTCTTTTCTTCAGCAAAATAACCTAGAATCTACTTCCCACCACCATTATACAAACTTGCTTTTATTGAAAGCTCTGGCCCTCTAACAAAAGTTGGTTAATATACGTACTTTATTTTTTATGAGACATAGCGTGTCATCATACGCTTTCACTCATACATAACACTAATAAGCCTGCTCTAGAGGCGGATTATATTTGAGGCAATAATATGAGGTTTAGTTGTTGTTTTTTTTTAACTTAGTCTTTAGTTACGATCATAACAGATCCAGTAGTAAAATTTAGCCCTAGTCCGTTTGACCCTTAATCCGCCCCTGGGCACAGCTTGGTTTATTTTTAATTTCGCGCAAAGCTTACACGAGGGTTATTTGCGCTAGCCGTCCCTAATTTAGCAGTGATAGACTAAAGGGAAGACAGCTAGTCAACATCACCCACCGCCAACTCTTGGGCTACTCTTTCACCAACGAATAGAATGATTGACCATCACATTATAACGCCCTCACGGCTGAAAGGACGAGCATGTTCGGTGACAGGGAATCGAACCCACGACTTTCAGATTGTGAGTTGAGCACCTTGTTCTTTGTGTCTTTGTAAATAAGCACAAAGCTACACAATGGGCTATCTGTGCTCTGCCCACCATGGGTATCGAAACCCGGTTTCTAGTGTCGTAAGTACGCAGACATACCGCTGTGCCACTGGGGGGCCAAGCACAGATAGTACAATGAGTAACTTTATCTTTATAAACAGAACTAACACATTTGATAACCATAATAACGAGAGGAGCAAGGACAGAGTTTATAAAGGAATAAGGCCGTAATTTATTAATTGCATTGAGAAAAAAAAAGACAAAATTAGTGAAAGAACAAAAGAAGTTATTGAATAGAATCTAGATTTACTAACGAGAAATTAACAGCAAAAACGGTACTTAAACTTAATAAAAGAAAAATTAATAAATGTTAAAATGGAACTGGAGCTAAACGTTTCAGGTAGCCAATTCTAATTTTGAACTACAGACCAGAAATAAAGCAACCAGCCAACAGAACTCACTGTCAAAAGGCTTTGTCTAGCTTTTTGGCCTAAATAATGGAACTGTCTTTCTTTTCATTTTTAATGTGGTCACAACGCAATGCATAAAACATGTTCAGTGTCATAACATCTAGAATTTTGGCTCATTTGATCCTCAGCAGAACATACTGTTAAGTCTCTGGTCGTTTGTTAATTTTCCGTAGAAATTCTTTCCCAGAAACTTCAGCGATACAAATCCTTTCTTAAATAAAACTAGTTTATTCTTTCTCAATACAACTTTGCAATACACTTAATTTCCACAGTCATTTTAACTTAAACACACACTATAATTCACAACGAACGATCCACGCACTTTACTTACTACCGCGCTTGACTCAATTGTCCGTCTCTACCTCTGCCTGTCTGCAATTCAATTATCTATGCCTTCACTTCTCGCCGGTCTTATATATACAAAATAGAGGGCGTCTAGCAAACACTTAAGCCTTCAGGAATGTTGAGATACTCATTACGTGTTACCAGCGTCACGTGACTTCCGCTGTCGTATCAATACTAATCACTCGATGAAGTACAACCTAAACGTCAAAACTGGACCAATTGAAGGTTAAGGTAGCTGAAATTTAATAAAAATACAACAAATATGGTTGGGAGTTTCAAATATCACAATTGAAAAAAATACTGATTTCACCTTTCTATAACTTCATAAACTATACCTTTAATTTCCTGTATTCGAATAATTTTTCTAAATTTTTGTGCAAGTGTTCTGTATGTAGTTTGTGTTGTCCCCATAAATAGGATGTGGAAAGGTCGTAAATCTGTATTATTTCTTTAGATTAGACAAAAGTTACGCACCCCAACTACTGTTCAAGAAAGCATATATTTAATTGACCCAGATTCTGAGTCATGCCGCCTTGAACGAAGTCATTACAGATAAAGTGCCTTGCAAAATAATTCATCCCCTGCAAAGTTTCCACATTTTGTTGTTGTCTGAGCTTGCAATCATGAAACTTTCAAATGGGATAATATATTTAGAATCTACACGATCTACTCCAAACTGAGAAAGCTAAAAAAGTTGATATTACGTAAGTTAGATTTTCAAAGAAAAATTAGACTATTCTCAATTGCATAAGTATTCAATTCCAAAATGACTTGAGATCAGGCCATCTTTCCAAAGTAAGCAGCCAGAAAAGCAGAACACTGGTTACATATGCCACTGTGAAGTCAACAGTGACTTTGAAAGACTTGAAGACTCTGAGATGGGAGTTAGTGTTCATTCATACACGGATGATATCCCGGTCCCTACATAAAGCTGGTGTGCATGGGCGAGTGGTAAGAAAGAAGCTATTACTGAAAAAGAATCATCTTAAATCTCGTATGGAGTTTCGACAAAAATATATATATATGATATTGAAGACATGTGGCAGAAGGTTTTGTGGACAGACTACACAAAAATTGAGCTTTTTGGTCTATATCAAAAGCGTTACATCTGGCACAAGCCCAACATATCCCATCACCGAGTCAACACCATCCCAACTGTCAAAGCATGGTGGTGGCAGCATCATGTTATAGGGATGCTTCTTATCAGCAGGAATTGGGAACCTTGTCAGGATTGAGAGGAAGAGGGGTGGCGGAAAGTACAGGTGAATCCTAAAGGAAAACCTGCTTGAGTCAGCCGAGAATCTAAAACTGGGTCGAAAATTCACATTTCAGCAGGACAATGACTCAAAGCACAAGGCCAGAGCCACAATTGAGTGGTTTCAAAAGAAGAAAATAAATGTCCTGTAGTGGCCCAGTCAAAGTCTTGACTTTAATCCAATGGAAAATTTATGGCGAGGCTTAAAGGTTGTCGTCCATCAAAGATTCCCAATGAACTTGTCAGAATTTGAGCAATTCTTCCAGGAAGAATGGGCAAACATTACACCATCCCATTTTCAAAAGCTGGTAGAGACCTATCCAAGAAGACTCACAGCAGTACTTGCTGCCAAAGGTGCTTTAACCAAGAACTGACCTTGGGGGCTGAATACTTATAAAATTAGCAAATTCCAATTTATATATTTTCTAGGCAGGTTTTGCCAACATTCAACCTCCTTCACACATGACAGTGTTAAGTTTGATCATTAGAGTTTTGAAGAAACACAAGTTCATCAAAAAAAATTGTTTACATTATTTGTATCTCATCAAAATGTGACATTATTGGTAGGGGGTGAATACTTTTGCAAGGCACTGTAACTTAAAAGCTAATGACTGAAAGGAAGTGGTAGTCCTTGCTTTCCAAAGTATTGAGTTTTGGTTCACAGTCACATGTTCTCAAAATACTGAATGACAATCACTCGATTACATACAGTTTGGACAGTACATACAGCTTAAAGTGTATTGTGACTCTTACTATTGTTACGTCTCTGGTCGTTAGTTAATTTTCCGTAAAAATTCTTTCCGAAGAAACTTGACCGATACATGTCCTTTCTTAAATAAAACTGGTTTATTCTTTCTGAATACAACTTTGCAATACACTTAATTTCCACAGTCGCGCTATAACAAACGCTATAATTCACAACGAACGTCTCACGTGCTCGACTCAACTGTCCGTATCTATCTCAGTCTGCAGTTCAATTACACATTGCATTCTTGCCGTCACTTCTTAACGGCTTATATATACAAGAATACCGCATATCTAGTAACCTCTCGAGACTTCAGGAAGGGACGTGAACGTTCGAGAATATGAGTGTTACTAGCGTCACGTGACCCCCGCTGTCGTAACACTATCCAAATTATCCAGTGATATTTGTTAACCAGGTATTGGTGCGAAGTCTTAGAATAATTACTTGATCAATCCAATGAATTGTAGCAACATTTCTGTGAGTAGACACACAGTTAGGACAGGTGGGTTTGCTATATGGGAGGATAGGAAATTGATGGTTGGTCTCAACTGTTGCTGATAATAGGAAACTGACAAATCAATATTGTGAAGTGGCCATGTAGTCCATGCTTTTCAAACAAGATTGATAGACTATGCCTTTATATATGCTTCTTTATCAGACACAGGAACGTCGAGAGCCAGCACGGGCCCCCTTTCTCCCTCTCTCTCTTTTTTAACATTTTCAAGAATTTATTAAAAAGAAGATCCTAAATTAGGAC